AGGGTCTAGGGGTGTTTGATTGAACGGTTTCCATCAATTTCATGTTTAGGCCATAATGCCTTGGTTTAATCAGGAATATATATACGCACATGCAGAGGCTATAATTCTCGGACCCAATACAAGTTAGACGACTGTATAGGATGGCCATAACATAATCAAAGGGCACTATGAAAGTGAAACTTCAATTTTGCCTACTGTACTGTTTGTGATTAAGAGGGTCATTTATTCTCATTCATATATAACAAACTCTTTTTTTTTTATCTTTTGTATTTGAGCAGAATTTAGCTGCAGAAACGTATTTGAATTCCTCTCCACTTCTCCTGCACATTGAATTCTGCAGAAAATTGTGGAATTAATTTTTCTCCGCCATGCACTCATTTTTCTTTTCTCTCTTTTTCAATAATTTGAAAAAGCAATTGAAACTATGGCCTATAGCCTATAGGAACATGTTATAACTTGAATGGTGGAACATGGACTTATTTGGTTTGGTGTCAATTAATAGAATTCACATCAGTGCCCCCCCACAACGTTTCACAACACATTCCTGTCGTGTATTGGAAACATCTTCTGATGATAATTACCAGAATTGATGATGTTATCATCAAGAGATGTTCTTAATACATGGCATCGGATGTGCTGTGGGACGTTGTAAGGTGTAGATGTGAACTCCAATTAATAAATTTTGACCTTTCAATTTCACAAAACAGCCAATTAAAACATTAGCTGGATTGTTGTGTAGAGATGTTGATTCGAATCCGTATCATGTTGTTGTGCTATGCCCAGAAAAAGGATAAAAAGAATCACGACCCTGTGGACTCAGGCGTACGATTAATAACAAAAAATAAATTACAAAGCACAAGATGATGAAGAAGGGCTGCTGAGTGCTGGGATCTCCCATATATACCAACAAGACGTACTCAGCCCACATGTCAGATTTAAATATTCAATGAAGCAAATTGGTTCCCCCACAGCATATATAAAAGACAGATCAGAATTCCGTGAATGTATCAATTTCTGTAGGACCACAGCAAAGGGGAATGTCTCTTCTCATTCAGAAACGACAGGTACATCTGCAGCTACCAGATGATCTAAGCGTGAGGCTTTCCAAGTTCCGACAACCATTTGTTGTTTCGTACTCCATTGCTTTGCTTTCTTTCTTTCTTTTCCTTTGCTTCCAAATAATTCAACTAAAATCTGCCAGGCCTGTTCCATTGTAGGGCTTCTCGCCCTCCTTTGTCCTGGGTCCTGGCCACCAACACAGAGCGAGAGGTGAGAACTGTCTTTTTAGGTGTCTTCTCCTCTTCACTTATAGGCCCAAGAAGCTAGGTCGCCTCGGAATAGCCTGGCTTAATCAGAAATGCGAAATCAAACTGGAGAGATCCAATTGGAAGCATCAAACCGCCCACAGGCCTCAGTTACATGGAAAAGGCAAACTAAATGTGAGCTCATTACTGTCACCGTGTGTAAATTATTGGAATGTTTTATCCCATTCCTGGCTATTTTTCTCTCTACCAACACAATTCACTTCAAATCAACCCCCACAATATTGCCCCTCACAGCACATGAAAACATCTCCCAATAATAATATCAAAAATGATGATGTCATCATTGGGAATGTACTATGAGGGGTTGATTTGATCTCCACAACCTCAACCAACCACCTACCAAGCTTTTATTCTCATGTGTGAGTTAAATGGGACGGACGTTTAGTCCAATCCCATTAGCTTTTCAAACAAAATTTCATCTATTCCCATTTTAATCTCCCGCCTGAAACGTCCCCAAAACCCTTGTACTTCCTCTCAGCACTCCGCTAGCAGCAATCATTTACACCTGTGACGGCAATGATGACGACTACTTTAGCAACGGACGGTGATCCTGCTTGACTGCTTTCCTCTTTTTAATACTTTCATTCCTCTCTGTTCTCTCATCTCTAACCAGTACAGAGGATTCCAAAACCCACCAACAACTGTGCCCATCTCTTCCCATCCCTACTCTGTCGGCATTCCTCAGGCAGGGCTACTTGTTATTTCGGCATTAGAAATTGTAGCCTTAGGACTACTTGTTACCTCAGGGTTATTAATAACCTATTGTTTTTTTTTTTTTTTATTGTTTTTCAAGAACTAGTAAAACAAGCAAAGAGCTCCTAACAGTAGTTCAGACTCGCAGAGGTCTAAAGAAATAAGAAAAGAGCTCCATACAACATTAATCCTATGGAAAATAAGAGAATTGTTCCATGATTTGGATCCATTTCAATTGGGCATCTTCCTTTCCTCGGAAGGGTAGTGAGTTACTTTAACAAGATAGTCCAATCTGTTATTCCACCTGATTCTATTTCTGAAGCCACACCTGTAAAGTAAAAGAATCATTGATTCAATGGTTCACTTAATAAATATTTGTCACTAATTTAAAGTTAAAATTGACCATGTTATTTTTTTTTTTTTTTTTGCAGATTTTCATCATTTAGGTTGTGTTTGGTTTGAAGGAAAAAGTAGGGATATGAAAGGAAAGGTAGGGAAACCTTTACAAACCTTGTATGGATTTCCCTACTTTTGCTTTCCTTTCCCCACATTTTCCTTCAAGCCAAACATAGCCTTAAAGCTTATAATATTTTCTTATTGTCATAAAAATTATAAGAAGAACTGTAAAGATTGTTCTTATTGTCAACAGAACCGAAATTCCTAACATTGGTTTCTTTTTTATCTGATTTGGAAAGCAACAATATTCTCATGGACACAAGAGTTATTAGAGATCATAATATGATAAAGAAATTATCTGGTTTGTGGTGGGTGCGGTTGTCGCCTGTGTGAATGGTTTCCGGCAGAGTAGAGGTGGAAAGAGATTGGCGCAGGTGCTGGGTCTTGGAAATGCTCCTTTGTACTGCGGAGTAGCAATGAGAAGAGATTGGAGCAGTTGTTTTGTGGGTTTTGGAATCGTCTGTAGTAGGAAGAGTTTACAGAAACGGAGAAGAATGAAAAGAATAAAAAGACAAAAAGGGAAGCAGGGAGGATTCACCGTCGGTTGCTAAAGTCGACGTCACTGGTGAGAATGAGGAGTAGGGTTTTGGGGACGTTTCAGGTGGGAGATTAAATTGGGGATAGATGAAATTTTGTTTGAGGAGCTAACGGAATGAACTAAATGTCTTCATTTGGGGATCTTGATCAGTGGTTGGTAGACGTTGTGTTGGTAGAAGATCCGGACTCCTCTCTTAATTTTTCTCTCTCCAGATAGGAACGATTCAATTCAATCTTACGACAATATAGTTCTAATTAAGGCTATGGCCTATAATTGAATCGAGCTCTAATTGAGTAGTTCAGATTGAATTGGATTAAGTTCGATTTGAGTTCAAATCTTGGGGTAAGCTCAATTAGTTATTTGAATTCTAGTTCAACAAATAAAAAATTTGGCTTAAAAATTCGTAAATTTAGCTCGATTAATATATACATAAATACATATATAGTATATATATATATATATTATAGAATATAAAAATATATTTTATAACATATTAGAATATATTATTTAAGCTTTGAAGATGAATTCAAGCTCATTAAGCTTGAGCCAGAAAACATAATTCAAGTCAAACTCAAACTTGAACTTAAACGTAATAGTACTAATTTAGTCAAACAGAGACAAGACATGTCAAATTTCAGCTCAGCTAGGCTAATTGCATCCCTAGTTCCGATGGTAACTGACCCCATTCTCCCACTTGGAAGCTGGACCAGGGCTAACAAAAAAGGAAAGCTGGTCCACTACTTGAAAACTGAAAGAATAAGCTGTAAAAACTTAGATTTGGACAACTATTAGGCTGTATTTGATTAGATTTATAAAATAAAACAGAAATAGAAAGTTGATCAGCAATGCAAATTGCTAGTGAAATTCCCTAAAGTTATGTTTGGTTTGAAGGAAAAGGTAGGGAAAGAAAGGGAAAGACAGAGAAACCTATACAAAGTATATAAAGGTTTCCCTATCTTTTCCTTTCTTTCCCTGTATTTTCCTTCAAACCAAACATAACCTAAATTTTCTATTTATCTCTTATTTTCTATCAAACCAAATGCAACATAAGGATTAAGGATTTGGATGCCAAAATTTGTTCATCGAAATGACAAGAAACTTCTTACTTCTTTGTTTGCCTAGAAAAGGGCAGAACTGTTTTTTACAAGGCATTTTGAGTGGAGAGAGAAAGAGAATCTATTAGTAGAATTAATCGATATTTTGAAAAAATATCATACCAAAGTCTTGTCAAATAAAATAAGGTCTTATTGGGTCAGATCAGATAAACCCAATTAATAATAACAGGGTGAATTCTAGGTCCTACATGATCTCGATAGGCAATACCATACAGTAATAGGTAATAGACGTTACCAGCATAAAAGATAAAACCAAACGAACTAACGACCCGTTTAAGCCCATGGGCCCATGCCAAGAACTTAACCATCTCGGACTATAATTAGCTAGCCTAGAATGCCCAATTCATACTGTTGCTATGGGACCCATGTTTCTGGTTCCCATCCGATGGCTGATTGTGACCAATACATGATGATCCAAATTACAAGACATCAGTCATCATAGATAGATTACATTCTGTAGAGGTCAGGTGGGGTACATACATCATGCAGCATGCTCATGCATGTATTTGAAATTAATTCGAATTTCAGATTCCTAAACCTGGATGAGCGAATAGATACCATACAACCAAGCATCAAAAACCCATCACCTGGTCAAAAAGAAGAAATTAAAAAAAAAAAAAAAAAAAGAGGAAAAGTCAGTTCAGTAAACGTTGATGGTGAATGGGGAAAAGCCGGTTCGTCATTCTCCGGCAACCAAAATTAAGAAAGAAAAAGAGAGAAAATTCAAACTTTTTTCTTTTGTTAATCGAGTAATGTTTGATCGATTAGAACATTTACAGTCTGGAACCTCTGCCTAATATCTAGAGTTACGATTTTAACAAGAAAGGACATACAGATATTTTTCATGTTTATGTTGTTGGAATTTGTTGATGATTAATTTGATTTTGATAAGACTCTACTCAACGGCGGCCCTTCTCGCGCAACCTTGGGCGTCTTCTGATGCCGGAAAACCTTCATTGGGCTCGGAAAGTGCCAACTTTTTGCTTTCAATTTCTCATTACCGCCGGAACTTGAATACGATGGAAACGGAACCGACTTGGACCTCGTCATCTTCTTCTTGGCTTCGTCTTCATCTTTCACTTCTTTGACTTCTTCGGGTTTTTTACTCTTTTTACCACGTTTGGCCTTAATAATGGACCACAGCGAGGTTCTGCTCCCGTGACGCGGAGGAGGATTCCCTGTTTCATCATCTTTTTTGTCCATACGTCGCCGGAAAAAAGGCAAAGAAGTGGATCTCGAGCGTCGGAAAGGGCATTCACTGTCGATGAGATTCGACATGCGGCCGGTGGCCCCGATTCCGGTGTTAGACTTGGAGGAGGAACGAGAGAACAAGGAAGAGGAAGACGAAGACGAAGAGGAGGAAGTGGGGTAGCAAGCACAGGGTCGGACGTTAGCGCATTCGGGGCAGAGAGTGATGAGGCGGTCTCTGAGGCAGAAGGGGCAGACGCCGGTGGTTGGACGCTTGGAAGGGTGCTTCCGACATCTCCAAGCTTCTTCGTCGTCGATGAACGGCGCCATTGTTAATGGTTATCCCTCTCCCCCTCCTGATTGGCTGGTTCTGTATTTCTTCTGAACTTGTCCTGTTTGGGTTTTGGAAGGCAGGGGGGGGGGGGGGGGGTGAAGGGCTCTGTTGCCGTTGGCTTCAAATGAAGAGTTTGTTTAGGGGGTTTCAGCTTTCTAAAATAGTCGAGGAGTTAGGTTAAACCATGGTATGGTTAAGATGTTGGGATGGTTGATGGTTGATGGTCGACGTCCATTCGCGTTTGGTAAGCACTCAGTCCTTAACCAAACCCGGAACCGCGTGTTTTGGCTTTGGAGTTTTTTGAATCGTTAAATGGACATGGCCTCCAATTAAATACCATGGATATTCGATCCTTTTACAAAAAGTGCCACTCATAATTTATGAAAGTGATAAACCAATTAGACCATTAATTGCAACGACAAAAATGAAAAATACAAAGGTGTCCACCTCGCCCAACCCTAGTCCTCAATCCACCCTAATTATATTATATTACATAAGACATGTATATATATATATATATATCTATATATATTATATAACAATTAGCAGGGAATCGTGCGATCGACGAAAAAATCTGAAAGATTTAATAATTTTATTTTTCATTTAATGTTGATTTATAAAAAATAATTATTGTTAATTGAATATGAATAAATATTTTTTTAATATATTTAATTTTATTAATAATTTATAGTAATTTTAATAATTTTTATTTTTTTATTATTTTTAAATGAAATTTTGATTAGTTTTAAATAAATAAAAATAATTAYAAAAGCTAGTATTTTTATTAATTTCACTAATAATTAATTATTACCTAGGAATGACAACGGAGTGGGTTTAGGGCAGGGCACCCCATCTCTTTCTCTGCCCCATATTCAAGACACTCTACCCTATCCCTGCCACGTCCCTAGTGTCACGCAGGTTCAAGGCAAGGTAATCACTCCTCAATGTCGGGCGAATTTAGGGGCAAGGCACCCCACTTCATATCAAGGATGGAGAATCCTCGAATTTCCCTGCCCCATCCCTAGTATTAGGCCGGTTTAAGTAGAGGTGTAAATTGGGTAGTGCTAAGTCGACACGACACGACCCACATGTGGCCCACACGAGGAGCGAGTCGTGTCGTGCTGGACCACGAGGCGTCCCGGGGTCGTGCCTCCCTCCTCTAGGATAATTTGGGGGGTCGGTTCGGCACGGCCCACGGCTC